CCTCTGAGCCTATTATCCAGCTCTAGCTCTTTTTGCCTTAATTGCCACATCTCGTTTACTTCAACAGCACGATTTGCTGTGGAGAGTAACATTTGGAGAGGCAGAATATAAATACAAAATAATATCAATTATGACAAAAGAAGATAACATAACAGGAAAAATCCAACAATAACTCCATTATCAATGAAACTCTACGAAACACAAAAAACCGCTTCTGATCCTAAATGAGAAATAGTACCTTCACTTATTTGATATTTCATGCATATACAAACCCTCACAGTTCTATCAATGCTAAAACTACAGATGAAAAGAGACGTACTTTTCAGCTACTGAAAATCCTCAGAATCTCTAATCAACACAAAGGATCTTGTAACATCCCAAATTTTTACTACTAGTTGTTAGATTTAAATTTAGGACTTAAGTGCGCTATTATTAAAGTTTAATGACCTTATCGGTTATTGACCAATAGTTTGAGGACCTAAGTGGAAAGTGATTTTGGAAGTTAGATTAAAGCATGCTTAAAACATATGTAAGTATGCTAATTACTCTTGATTAAGGATGATTCATTGACCACATGCATTACTCACATCACATTTTAAGCCAAATTAATTGATTTGACCACATGATTAAAGGTATTAATTTGACCATTTTAATGACAATACACCATTTATGCATTTACCATCCCTAACATCTAGCAATTTCCTTTCACTTTTCTACACATGGTCAAAAATTTACCCTATAGGAGACAAACCTAACACTAAACTGCCCTCAACAATCATTTACACAATTTCCCTCTCTACCTCTATAACTTTGCCTCTCCACTTCTCTTTCTCTCGTCATTTTTATGTTTGTATAATCATATAATCACACGTGAATAATCAACCCCACACGCGGCTCAAGGATCTCTTTACAATGATAACTCCTTTTATCGTTTTGAATTGTCCAATCAAGAGGTAAGTTGCGCTTTACGTTTATGGTGGCTAATGTTTATGTATGTAATATTTCTACGATTATGTTATGTTTTGGTCCATGTTACGTATGTTCTATTAAGATTGGACCGAAGTTTAGTAGCGCTACACACGAAAATTTAGCCCCACCTAAGTTCGGTCTAATTTTCGTGTCTCCCTATGCAAGCTATGAATTTTCTGTAGATATAGATATATGAATTCATTATCCACGCACGCTTATTGAGAATTATTCTCACTCTATTATGTCTATACTTTCAAATAATGGACGATTCGAAGCGGTCGGCACGAAGATGGCTTATGGTGGCAAAAGGTTCAATAATAAAATTCTTACATTGTCAAACTATTATTATTTCATTTAATTTTAAATAATTTTAAGATATTCCTCGTTTCAAGTAATGTATTAAACTCATTACATCATTTTAATTTTAATACGTGCTTAAATAATTTATATAATTGTGTTGAATATCCTTTAAATTTGCTTTAGTTTATGATTTAGTGAAACTCGAATCGTTAAGGATTCGGGTCATCACGGATCTAGTCCACGATAAATTTTGGCTCCCCTTCGGTACATTTATCGCATATGAATTTCCTATCTTCATCATTAACCTATACATTCCAGGTTACACAATATAAAAATTTTAAAGAATCGTGCTAGGTCTAAAAGATAGGGCCACAGGCATCGTCACTTCAAGCTACTCTACCCAACAAAATCAACCAAACGATGGATAAAGGGACCAAATACAGCCATGACAGAATGAAACTCAAATAGTTAATCTTCCTCAATCCACTCAGGCAGAACCCTCGCATTCTCTCATAAGAAGTAAAGGAAGCTTTAGTCAAAGAAATAAAGAAATGGGAGAAGGGCGGAGAGTGAGTTTAGCTTGATTGCTGGTGACTAGTGAATGCTATTAATTTAAAAAGGTTGCCTTTTTTTTTTGTTTTTTGCTAGCATATGGAATAACTAATGAATTAGAACTCTATTGTACCTAAATAGAAGCATTTAATGCTTCCATGATGTAAAATGTGCAGCAAATCCTGGAGAAGAAATCGTAGCCAGAATTTTCACACAGTGGCTTTCGACTTTCGGATAAATGGTTAGGTAATAATTGCAAGGTGGGCTGTTTTGTTAAAATATGAAATAAAACCACATATTCTAAATTTCTAATACAAAGCTAAATTTAGATTTGTTCAATTTTTCCATATAAAAAAGAAGTCATTAGATATTTAGGCTAATATTCCAATACAAACAAAAAAAACCGTTTTCATAGCAATGGAAACTAACCTTGTTGCACACCAACAACAGTTGCAGTTAAGAAACGTGAATTGGGACGACTCCTAACAGTGGGCCTATGAGTATAAGCATGCACACCCTCCTTCTCAGCTTGTC